TAATCTTGGCTCACTGCCTCCCAGGTTCAAGCAATTCTTGTGTGTCAGGCTTCTGAGAAGCTGGGACTACAGGCATGTGCCACCGCACCTGGCTAACTTTTTAAATTTTAGTAGAAATGGGGTTTCACCATATTGGCTAGACTGGTCTCGAACTTTTGACCTCAAGTGATCTGCCTGCCTCAACCTCCCGAAGTCCTGGGATTACAGGCGTGAGTCACTGTGCCTGGCCATATACTATATATTTTTTATCTGATAACTGGTTTGGCTACTAAATGACTAACAGGTAGCATCTATATCGTGGATATGCTGGACAAAAGAACATTCACCTCCTGGGCACGATGGCACAGGATATTGTGAGATTTCATCATGTTACTCAGAATGGTGTGCAATTTAAGTTGTTTCAGTAGTTTTCCATTTATTAGTTCAAACCATCAATGACCACAGGTAACTGAAACTGTGGAAAGTGAAACTATGGATAAGGGAGGACTACTGTGGTGTTGAGTCAGACTCATTAAACAATCATAACTCTTGATTCACCATAAGAAATGCTGCAGAAATATGGGTTAAAAAATAAAACTGTTCAAAGATAGGTCATGGATGTCCTTTAATTTGTAACTTCCAAAATGATCATGAAACTGTGCCCCCAAAGAGTTAAAGGAACCCATGACTAAGAGAAATTGTTTTCAGTACCCAGTAGATAATTTTTCAACCGTTACCCATTCCCTCCCCACTCATAGTCCCCAGTTTCTGCTGTTCCCATCTTTATATCCATGTGCACCTCATGTTTCGCTCCCATGTGTGAGAACATGTGGTGTTTGGTTTTCTATTTCTTCATTAATTTGCTTAGGATAATGACCTTCAGCTGCATCCATGTTGCTGCAGAGGACATGATTTTATTCTTTCTTGTGGCTGTGTAGTATTCCATGGTGAAAATATAGTACCATAATCTTATTAGACCACTGTATATATATGGTCTGTCATTGACTGAAATGTATACAGTGCAAGTATATATGTATATATGTAGTGTTAATCCATTTTGTGTATTATTAGATTTGATTTGCAAATATTTTATATAGGAGTTTTGCATCTTTTTCACTAGTTGATGTTGCTTGTAATTTTGTTTTTTTTTTGTGATGTCCCTGTTGGGTTTTAGAATCAAGCGTATACCCACATCATAAAATGGGTTGGAAAATGTTCCCACCCTTTTAATTCTCTGGAAAGCTGGTGTTTTTTCTTAACACCTGGTAGACATTACTGTTAAAACCACGTGTGCCTCTATTTTTCTTCATGGGAATGTTTTCAAAGTACACTTTGAATTTCTTTAAAATCTGAGTATGGGGCTACTCAGATCTGCTGTCTTATGTCAGTTTTTAATAAGTTGGTTTTATAGGCATTTGTTATCTCACTTTCCTATTTTGCGTATAAAACTGTTCGTAATATCTTTAATGTCTATAGTGTCTAGTAGTTTCCATCTTTACTTTCTGACATTGGTTATCTGCCAGTTTCAGAAGTTTTTCAATTTTATTAGTGTTTTCAAAGAACCATCTTTTGGCTTTGTTAATCCTCCCGATGGTGTATTTTCTTTCTCATTACTTCATGTTCTTTGTTTCCTTCAACTCCTTTTTTGGCTTAATTTTTAAATAATTTTTTGAGATTGAGATAAGCCTTAACGATCGATCACTGCTTTCCAGTCTTTCTTCTTTTCTGATTATGCATTTTAAACCTTAAATCTTTCTCAAAGCGGAGCTTTAGTTGCAGCTCACAGGTTTTGGGTCTGTCTCTCTAAGTCTGGAGGTTGGAGATCTGACCATTAAACCATCCAGTTATAACATGGCATTATTTACCCAGAAGAGCATGACCAACAGAAGAGTAGAATTTGTAAGCTTTCAATGAGTGATTGTAGGTGTCATAATAGGTAGATTGATAGATAGATTACATTTTGGGTGGTGGTAGCAGAGGGCTTACATGTCATATCAAATTTCACAAGGTCTTCATTACTTCTCAAAAGCAATGATTTCCGTTAATGGAAATGGAGAGTTTGCTATGACAGCTTTTTATATGGATCATCCTTAGTAAAATATGATTTAGTTTTTGAAATCAAAGGGGAAAATATTGTTTTAGGTTTTTTTCTTTCTTTTTTAGAGACAGGGTATTACTCTGTCACTACTTTAGAATGCAGTGGTGCAATGTAGCTCACTGTAACTTCAGATTCCTGAGCTCAAGTGCTCTTCCTCCCTCAGCCTCCATGTAGTGAGTACTTACAGGCATATGCCAACACATCTGGCTAATTTTAAAAATATTTTTGTGGAGATGAGGTCTCACTATGTTGTCCAGCGTGGTCTTAAATCCTGACCTCAAGGGATCCTCCCCGGTCAGCCTCCCAGAGTGCTGCAATATTTCAAATCCTGTGCTAGGTCACGTGTTTGTCTTCTATCTTGGGGTTTAGAAAGTATATGTCCAGAAATTTAGGGTGTGGTTACATTAGTCTTAAAAATGTCATGTTTTGGCCGGGCACGGTGGCTCAAGCCTGTAATCCCAGCGCTTTGGGAGGCCGAGGCGGGTGGATCACGAGGTCAAGAGATCGAGACCATCCTGGTCAACATGGTGAAACCCTGTCTCTACTAAAAATACAAAAAACATTAGCTGGGCATGGTGGCGC